CTTGTTTCTACCACTTTATCCTGCTTCTTTGTGTGGACTGTGATGGTCTGTTGTTTCTGAGGCATCGTGATGTTGTTGTATTTAGATCTCTGTTAATTGTGAAGAGCAGCCAAGGGTGATTCAGGCTCTTTTTGGTGGTATTTTATTGTTGGCCCATTGATGGAGAAGGAGGAAGTGGCTCTCCCTCAGTAAGTGAAGTCGCAGGTGGTGTGGGTGTAGTTGTGTCTTATGAGGACTATTGTTGTCTCCCACTCAGTTAGACACAAATTACAATTGAATAATCATCAAAAAACTAAAAGCCCATGGACGAAAAACACACCATGTATTCACACAGGAACAGTAACCAAAAAAAAAAAGGAAAAAGGGAAAAAAAGAAGAAAAAACAAGCAAACTTGCAGTATGTTGGGGATAGGACACTAAGAGAAAAAAGGGAAAAAGAATAATAAATGAAGGAAAAAATAGGAAATAATGCAAAAAGAAAAACAAGGAATGTGGTTAATCACGAGGAAAAAGGGGGAAAAGAAAACAAAACCTTAAATTTTTTTTGGAAAAAAAAAATTTCAACCAGGCACAGGGAAGAGAAAAAGTGCTGAAAACTAGGACCTGGTAGGGGAAGATGAAGAATAATAATAAAAAGGACAAAAGCATTAATAATATTAGTTGTTTTAAAACAGACAAATACAAGCAAATTAATCACTGGGAAAAAGAAAAAAATAAAAATGAAAAAAGAGAAAAAAGAAAAAAAAAATTGGTAGAGGACAGGGTAGGGCACCCAGTCTCCATCTGAGCATACAGACTGTGATGGAGTTCCTGTAGACCCAGAAGGTAGGTGGCAGTGGAGGATGGCCACACCTCCATTCAACAAGCAGGTGTAGGGTATAGTAACAAGAAGAATGTCATACCTTTTCAGTCTTGCAGGCCCTGAGTGTCCTTGAGGTTGCTGGAAAGTAGAACGTGTTCTTAAGCCCCATAAATCTGTGAGAGTGCTGTCTCTTTAAATATCCAAAATAGTCAAGCTGCTTTTTAAATATTCAAAA